AATCATAAAAGGACATGACAAGAAATAAAATGAGTTACATACAAGGTATTAAGGGGATCCCCGACCAAATCTATAAAGTGAGATAGGTAGTTATTTGCATTTCTTTACTAGGATGCTACCAAAATGCTACCTACTAGTTGCACATGTAGTACCTATAGGATCGATCCACATAACTACATGTATAATTAAATAAATACCTAATATAATCCACGTATTATAATCATATAGCAAATAAACTATTTTATCCATAATCGCAATAATATAGAGTATAGGGCTTAATATAAAATAAAATAATTATATAAATTATTCTTAGGTACATATTATACAAGTAATATTAATAATTACGTTCTAAAAATGATGAATAGTTATAAAAGATTGTTTGGTATTATATAGAATCATTTATCATCATTACTTAAAGTTTGAAATTCAACATAATTAAAAAAAAATATGGAAGGAGATGTTGAAATAAATTAGAGATACGAACGTAATCAGAGTAGAGTATAAATATTATATTTATACAATAAAGTACAGTGCATGGCGCACATTTCAGCCAACTAACAATTATTTAATACTCACAAATTAAACATGTTGTAATTATAGACACACAACCGCATGTACACAAAAACATCAATAATTAAATATGAAAAAAAAAACATTTTCGCGCATATATTTCGCGTATATTTTATATGAATTTACAAGATTTTTTTCCTTAAAATAATAATTTAACCTTGAATTTTATATTTTATATTATGTTTTTTTGTTTATGTAAAAGTTGAACAATTTTAAATTAAATTTGGTTAATATATTGTTTTAAAATCAAGTCAAAACAGTATCGATCCGCTATTACTTATATAAGTTTCATAATGTAATATTTTTTTCTTTTATAGACAATAAAACCAAATATTATGTTATTATATACCAAAAATACTATACAAACATATATTTTTGCTATACAAACTTATATTTGTGTAATAACCTATGTTTTCATAAATCTATATTTCAAATGAGATAAACACATTTCTTAGGAGTCATGTAATCTTAAAAAGGTATTAATGCGTTTACGACTTTTAATGATAAATAACATTTATAATAATAAATACTTGGTAATGTATGTAAATTTATTACGACACAATGCAATGTAAAATATTTAATACGTAAATTAAAAAGTGTTTAATACCAGAATTTTCAGATACATTTTAAGTGTATTCATAATAAAACATTTTGAAAGTTATGGTAAATTTTGTAATAAAGAATATCTGATAAAGAAGTTAAATAAATACCTAATAGTTAACTAAATGTAAAAATAAAAAATAAATCAAGCTAAACTATTGAACCGAGTAAGCAAAACGTGTCCTTCTCATTGACACATTTCCTTATATCTCTATATCACATGTTTTTTTTTTCCTATAGTAAATTTTATTTAAATGTAAGATTCAATTTGAAAAGAGTTAAAACTATTAAGTATTAATTATAAGTGTTAGCTTTTCTTTTCTTTTATAAAAGCAAGGACCTTAAATTTATGTAATAACCTACTTAAAAACAAAAATTGTTCTTTTGAATGTTTAAATTTTAATGTTTTGTTGTGTAAAGTTGATATGTGTTACAGTGATTATTCAATTATTTTCTGTAAACGATATAGTAAATATCATACTCCCAGAAATTGTAATTAAAAAAAAAAAAAAATAACGCATTTTTTTTGATGGATGTAAAATTAAAGTAACTATCTAAAATTATGTATAAATAAGAATCATAAAAATAAATCTATTATTTTACACGTATCCATATATGTATGTAATAATAACATCATACGATGTAATCGCAAACTTTCCCATAAACGTACTTTGGAATTGAAAACAAAAGTGTCACAAATCGCTTACGCAGCTGGGATCGCAATTTGTATTTTGATCTGTCTTTTGTTATGTGATTATGTTATTGTTATTGAAAATGATTACGTTGCTTTGACTTCTTTGTTCTGTTCATCTTAATATGAAATGAAATAATTAAATTTTTGGTTAAATTGAATGACCTCAGTAAATTATAAGATTTATAATATATTGAAATTATTCTTTTAGGAAAGCATTTAAGGGATTTAAATAGTTTATTTATGATATATGATTAAATAGTGAGCCTCGATTCTTAAAAATATGTATATGTAAAGGAAATAATTCTTCTCTCAAATGACATATAATTTTATGACTAAGTTAAGTTACTCGTACGTAACTATTTTATTAACTGAAATGAGAATCATAGAAAGGACTATATACATTGGCCATGTTCTTAATGATGTATACGCGAGCTGTGTACGTGAAAGAAAAGACCTTGCAATGCCATGCAGTAAAATGAAAAATAAATAATAGTTACCGAAGAATAAAGTAAATATATAAAGTTAATAAAAAAAGTGAATTAAATAAAAGTATCTTGAAATGTAAAACAAAATATAAGAAAATATTTTTTAGAGTTTTTAAAAAAAAAATGTAATCATTAATTTTTTTTTATTTTTTGGTCGGTGGGAGGTGTAGTGCCCTGTAGACTCCCCTTTACCTCCGACAATATACATTTATAAAATTAGTATTAAGTATAGGATAGATGGACAGTATAATTAAAGTTCTTGTACAAGCAACACGTCTCCTTCATTCAGCACCGACCTTACACGGGAACTTTTGTGTATCATTTAATGCTTTTCATTTTTTTATTTTAAAGAAAAAAAATGTTGGGTAAAAAGTAAATCTTATAAAATTAGTTGAAAATTGATTGTTTTTTGTGACTCATCATCAAAGGTATCCTTAGTTCTATCGTCTGCTGTCTTCGTTTTTGGGAGACACAAACCAATGACTGTATTATTTCATTTTATATACATTTTTACACTTTTTTTAACTCTCCTAATTTTTGCAGCAACCTTAGTTTGCTTTATACATTTCTAATTTAATAAATATAACTATTATTTAAGAAAGAAACATTATAAAATTTGCTATATAACCTGTCAAATTTTTCACCTCATCCAAAGTGGCACCGACCTGGTGACGAAAAAGTCATATGTCGATGGATCATTAAAAAAAGCGTATGGTGGTGTGTCCATCACATGTTTCGTCCCATGGTTGTTGTCTTATGGCTTCCGATAGATGGCGTTATAAACGTTTACGCCAGAAAATTAACCAGACAGGCGGCGGGGTGCAGTAACAAAGATATTAGACTTCTTTTTTGGAATGAAGTTCCTTATCGTATGGTACGAATTTGGCAGATGGGAGCCAGGCGACAAAGTGTAAGATTATTGCGTCACGACGCGTTCGTCTACACTACGTTACTTTCTGACGTAGTGTAGATGAACATGGCGGCTATAAGAAAGCGAGATGGAATAATATCCATCTCCCTCGCACTTTTACTTATCTTGCCATGAAAGAAATATTATTTTATTTTAAATGACGCTTCATTTAATAGACACTAGTAAGTTATTCATTTGTATTTGTAAATTAATAATATAAAACGTTTATCAATAATTAATAATATATTTCGAAAGCAACTTCGTTCCAACCCCGTGTTCCACGACACTCACGCATTTTATCTACCAACTTCAAAAAGGAGCCAGTACTCAATTCGACTGTATGTTTTTTTTATGTGTGTTACCTCATAACTTTATACTGGGTGAACCGATTTCGATGATTCTCTTTTTATTTGAAAGCTGGTGCTTCACATGTGGTCCCATATAAGTTTGATCAAGGTCTGACCAATAGTTTTCCAGTTATTCTTAATAATTTATATTGTAGTCGATTTTACATTTTTTTTTAATTTTAATTTATTTATAGAAGGAGGATGACAAATAAGCACACAGTCCACCTAGTGGTAAGTGAATGATGTGGCCCATAGATATCTACATCTATCCTCGTTTAAAAATCAAAATAAAGATGCGTTGTCGCCCCCATAGAATGCCTTGTTTCCAGTAAAAATGGTTCTCCTGTTCTCTACAATAACCATAGAAAACACGGCAGCGTTTAGCTTCTATATGACGCTGGTATTCTGTGAGAGCGTGGTCTCTACCACATAAAAAGTACATCTGGTACAACTATCGCCAATCCGCCACGTAAAAACGTCAGCTGTTTAAATTGTGTAAGAGCCATCGATATGTATGTACTACGCACTAGATTTGGTATTCCGAACATTGACTATGTTCAACTGAACTGTACTGTAATCCGTACACTAAACTAAATATTGCGTAAATTGAAGATTTGTGAATTCCATAAAATAATTATTATTACATTTTATTTAGAAAAATGTTTGTTTAGATTAAAATAAGAGTAATTTATATTAAATTATTATATTTATTTTATATTAATATTTTATTTTATATTAAATTCTTCGCGCATGCGTGAAGACATAGAGTAGCGCACAATTTTTGTTTCGAATAGCTTCTCTAGTGGAATTTTGCCGGGAACTTGACCGGCGGCGGTTGGCTGCTCCTGTATTTATTGTTTAAATAATGGTTTGAAGTGGACTTTGATATATAAAAGTGGTGCGATTTTGTGTATTAACTATCTACGCATGTGAACTATTAGTGGAAACGGTGAAACAAGTGCTCTAATGGTGATGTGATTCTTAAGATAAGGTGTATGTCTGCTTAGGCGCCTTGACATACCATTGCCAACTGTCAACTGTCTGCTGGCTCAAGTTTCCGTCAAAATCTCCCAAGGGCTGCACAATGTGACGCATCAACATATTGTGAAGCAGTGTACTATGAAGGATAATTATACATTTGTACTATGAAGGATAAATATACATTGAAAAATGGAAGACATGGCTGACGCACAAATCGTGCAGGCCAAGAAATGGAAGAAAAACAAAATACTTCTCTAGTACGTAGTACATATAACTCAATGGTAAGAGCTAATATAATTATAACATTGAGACACTATCTTACATTGTCGAGGCAACAATGCACCAATCTTTGCTGTAAGTTAGATGAATGTCTATGGACTACGGTCACACTTATAGTAAAAAAAATGACATACCTTAAAAGTGATCGTCGAAGCAGCCTTAAAATTCTCTAAAATCTTGCATAATCTTTCTACGGCGTACCTGAAAAAAAGATAGTATATTTATTAGAATTGTCAGCCTATAAAATACTCTTCAACTAAGCCTGGATTTAATTGTTACACTAAGCAGGCAGTACAATTATATAATATTATACATGGTAGAGCCATGCTGCAGCTATATTAGTAGTATAGTTGTAGCACGAATGGGTCGGCTCGACCGGAGAAGGACTACACTCTCACAGAATACCAGCGTAAAATAGTAACTTAATGGTGCTGTGTTTTGTATGGTGAGTGTAGAAAACCGAAGACCCATTTTACTGGAAAAGAGGCATTCCATCTTAGTCCTCACGGGTGACAACGCATTTTGATTCGTAATCGAGAATAGATGTAGATGTCTATGGGCCACAGCAACCACTTACCATCAGGTGGACTGTGTACTCGATCGTCACCCTGTTCTAAATTAAATGATTCTAAAAAAAAAATACAAGATGTGAGGCATCCTATTTTAGTCACGCATCTGTAGTCTTGGTTACAGGTGTTCATAGGCTACAATAGCCACTAACCATCAGGTGAATGATAAATTCGTTTATCACTCCATTTTCATAAACAAAAATGTGATAAGCAACACAACTTTTGTGTGGATTTCCTTTTGTATTAAAATTATATAAAATTTTATCAAACCGAGTTCTCAAAACACATGTTCACATTGAAAAAAAGAGATTGGGCCCATGCTGTGCTGAGCAACATGTATGTAGCACACAAGCGCCACCTCCTCCTGGATACTCACTCTTTTTCGAAGGGGCGTTCGTGTTCCCGGCACTGGCATATCTTGTGCACTATTTGACCAGCGATGTCGCTCTGCTGTGACAGTCGGTTCAGCTGCTCGTGGATTATGGCCGCACCTGAGAGGTAAATAAGTCAGTAAACTGAAGTGGCAATGGGTCGACTGGAAGAATAAGCCACCGATGGGGCCTCTCCAATCAAGCAAGCATCCATCAATTTCCTGTCATTGTAGACATGCAGGAAGTTCCATTCCTTGGACAGCGTTTATCTTCCGCTAGACTTGGTGAACAGCTGTTATGATATTAATGCTGTTGATGATGATGATAACGATTCCTTATCATGCGTTCAATAATTAATGAGTGTAAAACATTGTAATACTGACCGTCCTCGCCAAAGTTCAATCGCTGTAAGCGAGGCAGGTCCCATTCCGAGACTCGACTCGCAGACCCCGCTCGCAGACGAAGCGCCCGCATTACACCCGCAGCCGCACTGGTGTTACCGCCTGAGGATGATATCGTCAAATTATGTTACTGTTCACAAGTATCCCACCGCTGGGCATAGGTAGATGTGGGTAGGAAAAACTATTTTGCATATCACCAATATATATTTTTCTATTTGAGGCAAGTATGTTTTCTTTTTTGTAAGGGATGCACCCGCTCCCCAATAGATAAAGTGACGACCTGGTAAGACATGCAGAAAGTCAATAGATGCAGGTGGCCCAGGATCGTGTCTCGTGGCGTTCCTTGGGCGAGACGTATATTCAGCTATGGACTTGTGAAGGGCTGTAATGATTATAATTATTCCCTTACCATGTGTTTAAATCGCGCGGATAAAACACTTGTTTCCCTTTTCTATCGATTTCAAAAAGGAGCCAGTACTCAATTCGACTTATGTTTTTTTAATGTGTGTTACCTCATAATTTTTTACTAGGTGAACAGATTTCGATGATTCTTTTTTTATTTGAAAGCTGGTGCTTCACATGTGGTCCCATATAAATTTGAACAAAGTCTGACCAATAGTTTTTGTGTTATTCTTAATAATTTATATTTATGTCGGTTGTAAAAAAATTCTAATTTTAAATTATTATAAAAAGTTATGAGGTAATGCACATAAAAAACATACAGTCGAATTGAGTACCGGCTCCTTTTTGAAGTCGGTAGAAAAATTGAAGCGAGCGTCCTAGCTCCGAGCAAAACATATATACAATAAGCAGTTGGATGATGTAAGAAATACTTTCGGCCTTTTAAAAAGTTCGTTTATTGAATTTGCAAAGTTGTATTGCTTCGGAAAAATCGTCGACGGTAAATTATTCACTAAAGAAGTTATGGGAGGACGAAAACTCTTAGCAAAACGCAGAGTGGTTGACTGCCAAGCATCTAGATATATGTGATGTGGTATTGAGAGTTTTGTCATGATGTGCGTTGGTGGAATTTGGCAGCTGGAATTAATCCGAACGATGTTGTCGATTGAAAACAAACAAGTTTCCTTATCTCCACCACCACTCCGACCGGACCGTCTGCACGCTCCTGCGTCCTGCGTCCTGCGTCCTGCGGACATGCTCACCGTGCGCGAGCGCCCACACGAGCGCGCGCAGGAAGGCGTGCAGCGCGGCCGCGTTGTCGGCCAGGCACAGGCACAGCCGGCAGTGGCAGCCGAACGACGCGCGGTACCACCACTCCGACCGGACCGTCTGCACGCTCCTGCGTCCTGCGTCCTGCGTCCTGCGGACATGCTCACCGTGCGCGAGCGCCCACACGAGCGCGCGCAGGAAGGCGTGCAGCGCGGCCGCGTTGTCGGCCAGGCACAGGCACAGCCGGCAGTGGCAGCCGAACGACGCGCGGTACCACCACTCCGACCGGACCGTCTGCACGCTCCTGCGTCCTGCGTCCTGCGTCCTGCGGACATGCTCACCGTGCGCGAGCGCCCACACGAGCGCGCGCAGGAAGGCGTGCAGCGCGGCCGCGTTGTCGGCCAGGCACAGGCACAGCCGGCAGTGGCAGCCGAACGACGCGCGGTACCACCACTCCGACCGGACCGTCTGCACGCTCCTGCGTCCTGCGTCCTGCGTCCTGCGGACATGCTCACCGTGCGCGAGCGCCCACACGAGCGCGCGCAGGAAGGCGTGCAGCGCGGCCGCGTTGTCGGCCAGGCACAGGCACAGCCGGCAGTGGCAGCCGAACGACGCGCGGTACCACCACTCCGACCGGACCGTCTGCACGCTCCTGCGTCCTGCGTCCTGCGTCCTGCGGACATGCTCACCGTGCGCGAGCGCCCACACGAGCGCGCGCAGGAAGGCGTGCAGCGCGGCCGCGTTGTCGGCCAGGCACAGGCACAGCCGGCAGTGGCAGCCGAACGACGCGCGGTACCACCACTCCGACCGGACCGTCTCCACGCTCCTGGGGACAACATAATACAATACAATACAATACACCAATTTTTATGAAATAATAGCTAGGTACCAGACGCGTTGCAGCCGCAGAAGAAATAATTGTAAAAATATCGTTTTAAATTTGGAAGTTACATTGTTTTATCTGTGAAGTCCCAGTGAATGCATTCGAATTTGCACATGCCACATTTGTAACAATTATTTTTGAAGTGAAAATTTCTTTAGTATCGTTACGATATGAAACTTAATGAAACAAAAAAGCGACATTAAAAGAGACAAACGTATACATCTATAGGATTGCCTGCGAGAGAATGAGATAGAATACAGTGTCGTAAGCGACAGTAGCACAGCGGTGACACTCTCTGTACGAGAGTTCAAGCGCCGGTGACATTGAGCCGGAGCGTGTATGTGTGGTCTTATCGCCAAGAGCGATCTCTTCCAGACAAACTTTGGATGGACAGGGTTGCAAGAAAACAATAAAAAGATGAGTGGTTTGGCGACAAAAATAACATTATTTTTATTAAATCCATAAAATAGAAATATAGAATGGTATATAAGTATATAGATAATGTTCGCGCAAAACACTGTTGTCGGAGTCGACACCAGATGTCACTCGGCTCGGCGCGATTCCGGTTTAAAGTTCGGCTAGGCGTGGCACGAGCGCGCGAGTTGCGAGAGAAAAGTCAGTCGTCTGCCAGGTGTGCTAACAATTGGCACGCTGCCAATTAAGCGCGGGAACTCGGAATAATTAAGCGCGGACAGTAAAAATACGGTCTAGGAATTTTGTGGCGCGTATCCCTACTGGAGAGCTTCCCCAGGACTTATTGAGTCCGACTCAGAATCTGTATAGTGCATTCGACAATATTAGTTAGTGCGGCCTCTGTATTCTAGAATTAACTGTTGCTACGCGAAACGGTAGTGACCTTTGACCCAGAAACTCCGGGCGTGTTTTGTGCGGTAACCTTATACCCCGCGATAGTTAGTGGCTTCTGTAAGCTAGTTAATAGTACGATAGAGTTAAGTGACTGTCATCGTGGTGAACCAGAAAGTGACTGTGGATAACCTCGAAAGGCCCCCTCGAGTTGGAGCGGTGTCGACGCTCGGGCTGCTGCCGACGGCTAAGGTCTAGGTTCAATCATCATCAGTCACACCCAGATACACACCACATCACCATTCTTTCCCTTGCACTACACAACCACATGTGACCTGACCGACTCCGGAGGGACCAGTCGCCTTGGATAGAGGTAAGTGAACTCCGCCAAATTTCTTCCGGTCGACTGGCCGTAGTATAACGCTCCCCCATATATTTAATGTAATTAGGAATTTCCACGTGGCCTTAGGAGGCCCGACCTACGTCTGTTCGGGAGGTCTTCAGCTCATGGGCCCCTGAAGATTGGATCCTTTAAGGGAGCAGCCGTAGGCCGTAACAAACTGGTAGCAGAGCGCGATTCCGGGTTCGATTCCCGGTCGATCCCGACTATAGTGTTTGATAAACATTAAACAATTTTGGTGGCATGGAGCGTTGGTGTGATTGGTTTAATTTGCATCTACAATCACGCCCGTCCGTAATACGTAAAAATATTTTTTTGTACGTAATAATAGAATTATTTTCCTTTGTTGCTTTGTTGCTTGCCTTTTTTTTGGTTAGAGGGTAATTTGAAAAGCCGCGCCCTAGGTTGTGCAAGCGGGAGTTTTTCTAGAGATATACGTCATGTAGGTAGATGGTTATTTTTACGTAATCGGTTAATTATCGTTGTCGGATAGTTGTAGTGGATTACTTATCGAAGGTTCGATTTCCGAGCTAGGCATTTTTGTTGATCGACCGTGATGTGTATCTTCGTTTATACTGTAATTTGTATTTGAACTAAAGAGTAGTAATTGTATTTGCGTACTTTGAATTTAACTTGATTTCATCGCACTAGTATTTGTTATTTGTTAATTTGATTGTGTCTTTTCTTTTGAGCTAACTTGTATTTGGTTGATACGTAGTAATTCGTATTTGTGTAATTTCTATTCAACGCGATTTGATAGGAACTGCATTTATTAACTGTTAATTTTTGTTGTATTTTTTGTTTGTTATCTTTGTAATCTGTGCTCAAGCCGCGTCGTAATTTGCATTTAATAGTGATGACATCGCCCAAGCTACTGATCCGTTGTTCGCGGACTGAGCTACGCTGGGCCACAAGCGCCCATGCTTTGAAAGGTCGACCGGATGGGGTCCATAACTTGATGAAGCGGTTCGAGCAGGTGGATGCTCGAAGGGCCGCAGTGGAGGAGGCTTACGCTGAGCTCGAGGATTCGGATGTGGAGAAGGGAGTCCTGGACTCCTGCTTCGCGGACTATGAGCAGTTCTTGTGGCTCACGGACGAGTTGATCGAGGCTGAAGGCAGGTATGCCGAGGAGGCGCGTGAAGCTCGGATGAGTAACCTGCCCGAGTCCTCTCTGAAGCAGCTTCAGCCGGAGCTGTTGGGACGACTCCCAACTCTGGACCTGCCAAAGTTCTCCGGGGTCCTTTCCGAATGGCTGACCTTCGTTGGTCTTTTCGACAGCCTAGTGGACGCCCGGAGTGACTTGACCCCGAGACAAAAGATGGCGTACCTCCTGGCCTCACTGGAGGGGGAGGCCCTGGGCGTCGTCGGCCACTTGAAATATTCTGACGACGCCTACCAGACTGCTCGGGACCTCCTAGCCAGAAGATACGCCAACGTCCGGCGAATTGCAGACGAGCATGTTAAGCAGCTTCTAAGCCTCCCGCTGCTTAGTGACCGGGCCAGACTGCGTCCGGACCTGTTGGATCCAGTCTTGGTGGCCTGTAATACGTTGAGGCGGCTGGGTTTACCAGTGGGCGAATGGGCCTTTTTGTTGCTCCGCATAGTGCTGTCCCGTCTACCTCTCGACCTTCGAATCCATTTTGAGGAGAGGTACGGCGGGGACGAGGCCTCCTATATTCCGCCCTTCTATGACCTGCTGCGGTTTTTAGAGGAGCAGTGCCGGCAGATCGAGAACGCGGCGGGCACCGTTGACGACTTACGAGACGTGCCCAGTGAGAGGCTGAACCCGCCAGGCAAGTCGTCGTCAACCCCCCCCTGCTCCTATTGTCGAGCATCTGATCACCGGGTAACGTTGTGCCCGAAATTATTAGGTAAGCCGGTTCCTGCGAGGCGAACTATCGCCAAGGAGCGCCGCTGGTGCTGGTCATGTCTGGGAGGGCACCTCCAGCGAGACTGTCCGCATCGACGGCCCTGTCTGCATTGCCAGGGCAATCACCATGCCGTTTTGTGCCTGGGTGCGAACGGCGTCTCCTCTCGGGACTCTGCCAGGCCCTCGACCCCCACGGGCGGGGGCGCTCAGCCACGCCCTCTGCTGGGCGACAATCGGCGCTCGCTGGCCAGCCACCAGGCCCCTAAGTTTGAAAGGGGCCCCTCCCTCAAGCAGTTGGGGGGTAATTCCCCCAGGGGCGGGGGTGTCATCACCCCCCCTCAGCGTGTGGAGAGGAAATTCACGGCCACTCATCGGTCCGCTGGACCCTTCTCACTTCCGTTAGCTGAGTGGCCGCGACTGGTGTACCACTGTTCCCCATTTGATGGAGGCGGCCCTGTCTAGCTGCCGCCTTAGCTCCCACCACGGCCGCCTCCACTGAGCCTTAAGCCGTCAACAGTCCACTTGTCAAAATGTTCTGTTGCCGACGGCCTCAGTGAAGGCGTACAACCCGAGTGGCAACTGTTAGAGGTTGTGCTCTATTTATCTCGGGTTCACGCCATGTGGCCTCCCCTTGGTGGTGGGAAGATTAGGGCCCCCCTGGAGCGTTGAATCACGCTGTCAAGGGGTATTAGATTTGGTTTGGTCGAGCACTTAGTTAAAAAATACTTGAATTAAAATTAAAAATTGCTTTGGGCTTTCCGCGAAATTTTCCTATTTGTAGCGGTTTAAATTAAAAGAATTGAATTTAATCTACTCCTTTAAATGCTACTGCATGTGTTTTGTAAATATATTTAATCACTGTATTTGATTGTTGCGTCTGTTTGCTGAAAGGAAAATTTGAATTCATCTGAAATTGAATGGCGCACTATTTGAAAAATTATGTTTATGTTTATGATAGTGTTTAATCATTTTGCTTTACGAAGAAGTAGGGTTTGCAAGTTGACCTATGCGCATCGGTGATTAATTTGGTTGAATTAATTCTGCAGTTGAACATTGATGCTTTTGGAAAATTAGTTGAAATATGAGCATAGGACTACTTGCCTAACAGGCTAGCTAGTTTTGGAGATTATCAGATTGAAATCAGCTGCCGCACTATTTTAGTAAATGATAATATGGTGGGTGGCCTGGCTAGGCCTACTTGTTGAAAATTCATACTAGGGACTATCTGTGCGTTTCGTTCGGCTCTCCACAGACGACGTTCATGTGGAATTTGTGGGTGCTCTCTGCACTGAAGCTTAGGAGGCCGCTCGGGGCCGCTTCGTGTCGCGTCGCTGTTTGCAGAGCTGATCCGGTCGGATTGCGGAACTAATCATAGGGGCACAGATAGGTGTTTGAAAGAGGTCGTCGGACTTCTGTCCAGTACAGGACTTGTTAAAGTGCTGCGATGCCCAGGAGGGGCATCCAGTGGAGGCTGACCCTCCGGCTTGCCACATTAGGGCTATTTTTTGAGGCGCTGGTTAGGGTTGCAAGATCTGATGGGGTGCCTAAGGTGGCCTAGTTTGGTTGTAGATTCGGTCTTGCAACTTGCCTTCGCGACCTTGTCCCGCTGACCGGTTTGCTCGCGGACCTAAATCCTTATGTCCGGGACGGGGGTTTGTTCGCGCAAAACACTGTTGTCGGAGTCGACACCAGATGTCACTCGGCTCGGCGCGATTCCGGTTTAAAGTTCGGCTAGGCGTGGCACGAGCGCGCGAGTTGCGAGAGAAAAGTCAGTCGTCTGCCAGGTGTGCTAACAATTGGCACGCTGCCAATTAAGCGCGGGAACTCGGAATAATTAAGCGCGGACAGTAAAAATACGGTCTAGGAATTTTGTGGCGCGTATCCCTACTGGAGAGCTTCCCCAGGACTTATTGAGTCCGACTCAGAATCTGTATAGTGCATTCGACAATATTAGTTAGTGCGGCCTCTGTATTCTAGAATTAACTGTTGCTACGCGAAACGGTAGTGACCTTTGACCCAGAAACTCCGGGCGTGTTTTGTGCGGTAACCTTATACCCCGCGATAGTTAGTGGCTTCTGTAAGCTAGTTAATAGTACGATAGAGTTAAGTGACTGTCATCGTGGTGAACCAGAAAGTGACTGTGGATAACCTCGAAAGGCCCCCTCGAGTTGGAGCGGTGTCGACGCTCGGGCTGCTGCCGACGGCTAAGGTCTAGGTTCAATCACCATCAGTCACACCCAGATACACACCACATCACCATTCTTTCCCTTGCACTACACAACCACATGTGACCTGACCGACTCCGGAGGGACCAGTCGCCTTGGATAGAGGTAAGTGAACTCCGCCAAATTTCTTCCGGTCGACTGGCCGTAGTATAACGCTCCCCCATATATTTAATGTAATTAGGAATTTCCACGTGGCCTTAGGAGGCCCGACCTACGTCTGTTCGGGAGGTCTTCAGCTCATGGGCCCCTGAAGATTGGATCCTTTAAGGGAGCAGCCGTAGGCCGTAACAGATAAGATAAATAGATATTAATATATATATATATATATATATATATACATATTATAAATATGTATTTTTTTAGATTTAAATACATAAAAATACAAATTTATACTTTAAAAGTATTATATATAGCATAAATGTGCCATACATATAAAGAAATATTGTAACTAAGTTAACGTAGAATAATTACATATAAATGAATAGGCATTATTTTTGTATAAAACGCAGTCAGTCTGTGCGAGAGTTCAAGACGCGAACTACTACGTACTAGACCTAGGCCAAGGCAGTCGGCGACGGCCCGTTCCACGCCCTGCGCGCCTCTTCAAGCCCCCGCACACATCCACACACCCACACATAGCCGCAAGCGATTTTACGTGCACACATGCTTAAGTGTCGTTTCTTTTCGCGTAGTGTATATTTTCTTTGACAGTAGCTTAATGGCAGGGTGCGGACCGCGAATTCAAAAGATTGTGGATTCTAATCCACCCCGCCATTCAACTACTTTCGTGAACCACTCCTAAAACAAGCATTTTATTTTTTATTTTTAAATGTACCGCTAGTGATTACAGCGAATTTTAGTAATGTTAATGGCGTTGCCAGTATTTTTTTAAACAGTGTTTCCTATTATTTAGGTCTTCTCTTTGTGCGGTGGTTTAGAGAAAATTATTATAAATTTTAAGTGTTAAAATAGCCAGTTTAAAAAATTACTAATTTATTAAATAAATAAAATTAACCATATTGAATAAAATTATCATAACTTTAAATGACGAGCTTCCGCCATTATGCTACTTACTATTAGAACTACTTGCAAACCGTGTAGAGGGCGCTGTTACAGAATGATTTAATTTATAAAATTTGTTTTAAAACTTTAAAGTTGCCAATTTATTCGAAAACCTCTAAAATGGTAGTATCTATCTATTGACTTTGTATCTTTGTATCTGTAAAATATAAATAGTTTCTAAATCAGCCGCATTTCCCCATAACAAAATCCCTTAAGACATTATGCTACGGAAATAACTGAAATAAACTAATCTAGTTTATTGTTTAGTGGCGGCCTGAACCTGAAGCGCCATTCGCTGTGGTGTCTGTGCACAAAGTACTTTTGTCTGTGCTGGGATCGGACGTAGAACCCTGCTTTATTATAATAAATGTAGCTTATAAGATAGGCTCTGATTCAAATTATAGTCTATTTAAAAAAAAGGCATATGACAGAGAATGTAAAATTTTGCGAAAAGTGTGGCACCGCGGCAAGGGACTTCAGTGTGATTTACTTTAAGAAACTTTTTTCGTGACACTCTTATTTAAGCTTGAGACTATCAAAAATCACGTATTGCAATAAGACTGTTTTAAGAGCGCGTACTCAAATATGCGCATGTAAAAATCTACACGATCGCTCTAGAACGGCGAAAATTTAACGTACACTACAATGTTCTCTCAGGGTGCGTGATTGATTACGCGAGTACAAAGCTATAAGATTTCGTCACGGTTAGGTTAGGTTAATCGTGACGAAGTCTTATTACTGTTATTAATTCAGCAATATTATCACATATTAAGTATATAGCACGTATAGAATATATTAAGTAATAAAGAATCGGATAAATTTGTACTGTTTGTATTAAAACCACTGTATTTAGCGCTATTTTTACACGGTACACGCGGCTTGTTGTAAAAATATGCAAGTGATCACGCTGCGGCCACTGGCGCGTTCGCTAAAGCGTCCCCCACACAGAAGCGGCTTGCGGTGGCGGGCAGTTGTATTCGCTTGCAATGTACGAGAGTCCGCTAACCCGTGCGCCCATGGCGCGGCCGCAAGCCCCGCCCCCTCCGCACCGCGTGTGTGTTAGCGAGCACGCGGTCTGTCGGTGACCGCAGCACGGTCACTTGCAAATTTTTACAACACGCCATGTGTACCGCGTGAAAAATGGTGCTAAATTTAAACATTTTAATAGAAACAATGCAAAATTATCCAGTACTTTATGATACTTCACAACTTAATTACAAAAGCATTAAGTTTAAAAACACAATATGAGATAATATTGCTCAATATAATATGAATAAAAAGACATCGTAACGGTTAGCTATGTTGAATAATGTTCGATCGTAGCACAGACACCACAGCGAATGGAGCTTCAAGTCGCCGCTGTGTCCGCGGTGGTGTGTTGTTGCAGCGGCTGGAGTCGCACTGCAAGCCGCTTGTATGTGGAAGACGCTTTATTCTTTACTGTTTAATACAAACATTGCTTTACGCGCATTTTGTTATCATTTAATATTGCATTCGATCAAATGAGTGAAAGAAAAACGGTTGATTAATAAATTAATCAATATCAAAACCAGCGTAAAATAGCAGCTTAACGCTGCTGTGTTTCGTATGGTGAGTGTAGAGAACCGGAGACCCTTTTTACTGGAAACGAGGCATTTCATCTTTGTCTTCACGGATGACAACGCATCCGCATCTTGATTCGTAATCGAGGACAGATGTAGATGTCTATGGGTTACAGCAACCACTTCCCATCACATGGACTGTGTGCTCGTTTGTCACTGTTATGCTATAAAATAAAATACGCAAAGGCCTTTGCTATAAAACCAGTAAAAATATATAAACTGATAACCAATAAAGTATCTCTGGTTCGTCACTCAACACCGGTAGTCCATGCGAAAGCAGTCCTGGCTCGATCGGAGCAAACTATTCGTGCTGCAGCTATTAAAGTTCAAGGCATAGCTCTCCCATGTACAGTTAGTATATATTAGCTACTCACATCTCTGTGCCGATGAGTGTGTACATGAGCGCGCTGATCTCGCACCAGGACCTGTAGACGCCCAGCAGCCACTCCTCCACGGGACGAAACCTGCCCGCGTCGGCCTCCACCGCCACGCCGGACTCGCAAGCGACACGCTCCGCTTCTACAACATCAACAAATCCTTTTTAATTTCTACTTGTATGAGAGAAAGTAAACATCCACTACTGAACATGGGTTTCTCCCGTTATAAAGAAGTTATACAATATTTGTCAGGCTTGGCAGGTAGATTGACAAATGCTAACAAACATGTTTAAATTAATAAGACACCTATATCTAACATCGATTAAGAATAAAAATGCAGATGCTTCCGATATAGTGAATGAATAGGCTTTTGTTACGTTAAGACAGTGCGATTTACCATCTAAGACTGCATCACCACTTACCACCTGGTGGGGATAATGGTCAAGCACTGGCTTATAATAAGTAATATAAGGTATATTATGGTTCTAGCACAAAAAAGGTCAGCTCCACGAAAGGACCATACTCTCACAGATTACCAGAGTGAAATAGCAGCTTAACACTGCTGTGTTTCATATGGTGACTACAGAGAACCGGAAACACTTATCACTGGTAGTAAGACTTACTATCTTCGTCTTCATGGGTGACAACACATTTCGATTCCTAATCTCGAATGATGGACCATGTGCTAATTTGTCAACCTTATTCTTAAAAAAAAATCCAATATTATTATACATATATGCCGTGTTAGTTATCTAACAAAAAAAAAGGAAATCAACATTATACAGCAACATGCACTATTGTTTCGTATGGTGAGTGAGAAGAACCAGAGCCCAATTTTATTGGTAACAAAGAATTTCATCTTAATTCTCAGGGGTGTCAATGCATCTACATTTTGATAGATGTAGGTTTCAATGAGCCACAGCATCCACTTACTATCAGGTGGAGTGTGCGCTTTTAACAATCAAAATAATAAAATAAGTAATATATTTCAGATGTAGTGTGATTTTAGTATTATCAATTCCTCATATTGATTTATCAGATCAATGGCAATCATCATCATCATCATCATTACAGCAAATCACAAGTCCTGGACATAGGCCACCCTCATGTAATACCACAAACGGTCCCGAGCCACTTGCAGCCATCAACTTCCTGCAATCAATTTGATCTAGTGGGCGACCGATTTTGAAGACCACAAACAGTAGTGTAACACAGCTCCTTCCTGAGCAAAAACTACCCGCTCCTTCTCAAGTAAGGTAAGGCTTAAGCACATAAGTGGGATATCTAATGTGGTGCAGAATATTGAGTCATACCGCAGACGTAGTGCAATAGGGCTGCTTCCTCCTCTGGTGTTACCGCTGCTTCCTCACAAATAAACATGTCACTGTTTGGCAACCTGGAAAGTAATAAAATTTTAATATACAATATATATCATAAAACATTTTAACTTAAGTCCACTGCCTAAACATAGGCCGGCCCCACAGTTTGCCTGATAGGGTGGATATTTGACATAGTTTACATGGTTTTTTTTTTATAGGAGAGGGGGCACACGAGCATGCGGCTCACGTGATGGTAAGTGACTACCGCCGCCCATGAACAACTGCAACACCAGGGAGGGAATTGCAGATGCGTTGCCGGCCTTTAAAGCAGAGGCGGCCTAAGAGCCATGCTGCAGCTATAACATGGTTGTAGCACGAATGGGTCGGCTCGGCCGTGGAAGGACCACGCTCTCACAGAATAGAATAAAATAACAGGTCAATGGTGCTATGTTTTGTATGATTACTGTAGAGAACCGGAAACCCTTTTTACTGGAGATGAGGCATTCCATCTTGTGTCTGAAGTAGAGTCTTTGCTGAACAAAGTCTCGGAATGGGGGCGACTAAATATAGTCCAGTTTAATCCTCAGAAGACACAAGTTTGCGCGTTTATCGCTTTATACGTGGTAGAGCCATGCTGCGACTATATTAGTAGTATAGTTGTAGCGAACCACGGAAGGACCACGCTCTGGCAGAATACGTAAACCAGCGTAAAATAGCAGCCTAACACTGCTGTGTTTCGTATGGTGAGTGTAGAGAACGGGAGACTCTTTTTATTGGAAACGAGGCATTCCATCTTAGTCCTCACGAGTGGCAACGCATCTGCATTTTGATTCGCAAACGAAGAAAAATGTAGATGTCTATGGGCCACAGCAAGCACTTACCATCAGGTGGACTGTGTGCTCGTTTGTCACCCTGTCCTATAAAAAAAAAGAACTCCTTTGTCGTATCTCCTCAGTTTCAAGGTGCTCCCCTTGTTAGCACATAGATGAATTGCCTTATATCCATAAGGCATTTCATCTATGTCCTCTGGTGTGACGACGCATCTGTATTTTGATTCTTAATCGAGGTTAAATGTAGATGTATATGGCTCACTGTAGTCACTAACCATCAGATATACTGTGTGCTTATTTGTTACACTTATTTTATAAAAAAAGTTGCCACGTTTGCCAAGCGAGTTGGCAATTTTTTATTTTTTACTTGTCATTAGAAAACCACTGCTGCCCATCTCCTGGTTAGGTTCACCCTGTCGTATCCTAAGACACCCGCGGGATGATATGGGGTAGTGGATATTCTTACACTGCCACTACATAAAAGTTACAGCCTGTATACACGTCCCACTGCTGGGCACAGGCCTCCTCTCACTTCTGAGAGGGTTTTTTAGGGCAAGGAAATGTCTGCTGTGCTACCCCAATGCGTGTTGGCGAACTTCACATATCTTCGAAATACATTTTTTTTTATTTCTCAGACATTCAGGTTTCCTCACGATGTTTATCTTCACCGCCAAGCACGTGGTAAATCAGCACTTAAAATTGCAATTAACAATTTCATTGGTGGCGGCGGGGATCGAACCCGGGTTGCTCGCGTACTGTGAAACAGTGAGCGCTAACCATCTGAGCTACCACGTCTCTCGGCTACACTACCACTACATGATCAACATAAAATAAAATGTTTTATTCAAACCTTTTCACAAATGAGTGTATACATAAATCTGGCTCCAGTTCGCCTTGGTAAATATTAAAGCATTTGCATTGGTTCATATAATCTATATGTCTCCAATTGATGGATTTACTTACATGTCAGGCTGTGAATCTAGTGCGGCTTCATCATCCTCTAGAGGAAGCTCGTCCCTCACACTTTCTTCCGCAGAGGCCAGTAACTAAGAGAAAACATTGTTTTTAATTGTACAAACAGATGTTTGAGTTGACTGTGGTGGATCATAATATCGAAACAATGGATAAGTTAAATATACTGTTAAAAATAAACCTGCAAGATATCCTCGTGGCGGATCAGAAAGTGATCGGGATCTGGTGGAGCTGGCCCCGCACTCAACAGCGGGAGCAGGAACTGACCCAGCGCTGGGGCTTCCGCCTACAACAAAACATTTAGACAAGTTAGATAACATTGATAACTTTACAGACTAACATTTTATTACAGAAGCTATTAATTAACCAAGCAGGAGAGGTTATCATGCACAGTGTATGCACACAATAACACATGTAATGTGGAGACCAGATATTCCGGGTTAAAATCCTGACAGGGGACACTATGTGTGTGGTGTACCTTTTTTTTATAGAATAGGGTCACAAACGAGCACACAGTTCACCTGATGGTAAGTGGTTGCTGTGAGCCATGGACATCTACATTTCTCCTCAATAAAGAATCAAAATGCAGATGCGTCGTCACCTGTGAGGACTAAGATGGAATGCTTCTTTTCCAGTAAAATGGGTCTCCGGTTCTACACTCACCATACGAAACACAGCAACATTAAGCTGCTATTTTACACTGGTATTCTGTGAGAGAGTGGTCCTTCCCGGTCGAGCCGACCCATTCGTGCTACAACTATACTACTAATATAGTTCCAGCATGGCTCTACCACGTAAGGCCTATTCAGTATGTTAGCATTTAGCTGCTATGAGCTGTGGGTTGCGTCAAAATGCACACAGAGTTATTTTGAAAAAAAAAAAGTAATCAGAGGCATTCACCCATCTGAGCCAAACCTTATCAGATGTAATACTAAAATATTAAAACCAAAATATGCTTGGATATAGTGTAAATAATTTTGATAGTCCCATGTGCAGGGCATGTATGGGGGAGGAAGAAACGGCAGCTCACGTGTTGCTTATATGTCCGGAGGTCACTGCATACAGGGTTAAACATCTCGGCATGCCGGGATCACACCCCGAAGTTGCTCACAACATCAAAGAACAGATTAACTTCTTCAGGAAGATTTCATAGCTCAAATAATTACATTATTCCTGCCCACACGTAAAATACGCGAATAGACGTGCAGTTGCGGAAAACAGGCCGTAGTAAACTAAACTAAACTATAGTGTCAAAGATGTGTAAAATCACAACACAATCAGACCCAAACACAAATTGCTGTTTTTGCATAAATGTTGGTTCCACGTTAAGTTCGAAACTAGGACATAAACATAGTAGCAATGAACTTCGACCACTAGGCCTCTTATAATCGTCGCGGCACTTTGAAGCCTGGATGCATCGAAGAACAGTAAGACTCACCTACACACTTACACAGATAATGAATGGGCACGGGTGCTTCGGTGATTATTTGTGTAAGATTGGACGGAAAGCTACGGTGAACTGTTTCCACTGCGGTGGGCAGAAACAGGACTCCGCATTCCATACGCTGGCAATATGCCCAGCGTGGGAACGGGAGCGGACGGTCCTGGTAAGACGGAACGGTCAGAACCTCTCCCTGCCAGCAGTCGCGTCGGCGATGCTGAGCAGGGACACCGCGTGGAGTGCCGTAGCCACCTTCTGTGAATCCGTTATGATCCAGAAGGAGGCTGCTGAGCGGTGTTGGGAGAGCACAGATCCCGCTCGAAGACGACTCCGCCAAGGCATTCGTCAGAAACCGGGCTTCGGGGGTTACGAGCGCTCGGGGCGAGGGTCCCTAGCGTCTAGTGATGTAACACCTGAGGAGGACGGTGACTCGAAAGTGGTCTCGAGCACCATGATAGCATTGCGAGGGCGCTGGGGGTAGTAAGGATTGCCCCCATGATGTGCTTTAATAGAGCAGAGCGTGAGAGGGGCCCCGGTTGTGTTCCGAACGAAGATCCCGGGACCCCTCATATACGCTGATGGAGACCACGGTGGGATTTTAGCCGGTAGGAGTCCGGCATAAACTTTCCGTAGCCCCCGCAACAGAAGGTGTCCATGAGGATTTCCCCACGATAAAAAAGGCCTCTTATAATCATGATTTGAACATAGTGTACAAAGTATCCCACTAACCGGTTCCTTGTGGTAGTCGCTGCAGTCCATATCGCCAACGCCAGACGCCTCTTTCCCAGATGACGTGTCGGATAGCCCAGCTGAAAAATAATTTTCATTAGAACTTTGTTGCGAGAGAGCAAAACGCACTAACGCACGCACGCTCGATCGTACGCACTAACGCACGCGCACACAGTGGGGGTCACCCAATGATTCGCTTTTTTATAGCATAGGGTGACAAACGAGCACACAGTCCACCTGATGTTAAGTGGTTACTGTGACCCATAGACATCTACATCTATCATCATTTGTGAATTAAAATGCAGATACGTTATCACCCGTAACGACTAAGATGGAGTGCCTCTTTTTCAGTAAAAAGGGTCTCCCGTTCTCTACACTCACCATACGAAACACAGCAGCGTAAGCTGCCATTTTAGACTGGTATTCTGTGGGAGCGTGGTCCTTCCCCGGTCAAGCCGACCCATTCATGCTACAACTATACTACTAGTAAAGCTGCAGCATGGCTCAACCATGCTTGCCAGTACGGCTGCCACTTGAAAATTCTTTTTTCCTCAGCGGTATAATTATAAGCTATTTCTATTGAACATAATATATCCTCAATTAAGAATAAAAATGCATGCTTAGGAATAGATATTCACAGAATACTCACAGGCATCGTCCAACTCCGTCCACTGGTCGTCGGAATCAGAGTCTGCGCCGACGTCAGACGCATCTGACGGGGGGCCCCTTCGGGCGCGCAATGCTGCTCGACGAGCCATCGCGCTCCTACGTCGGGACGCCTACACAGACGAAATTTTCTTATTTTTATGCTATACTATTTAAATACGATGTTCATGCGATCACAAATAATATCATATTATCCAAAGTCCAGTGCTGAATGTATGTAGGTCTCCCCTGTACATTGCCTCATATAATTGCCATTATTGGATTTTCCCTTTTATGAGAAATTTATGGGAGATTGCTAGATAGAAAAAATATTTTCCCATGCTTGGTAGGTAGGTTTAGTAACCATAGTTTTACCATAATAACCATAGTTTTTATTATTTGAGTAATTGTGATGATGATGTTGCCCATATCCGGTTTCAGTTTAGCCCTTACTTTCACTAAATATCCTTACACTATGCTAAGATGGTTTATAAGAACAGAGCCAATAGTCATATACATACACCTCATACTTATAATGCTGCTTCCATTCGCTTAACGTTTTACATTTTCGCATAGATATAACAATTTATAAACAGGTGAAATTAAAAATTTTGTGCAACCAACTTCAATATAAATTATTAAGAGTAACTCTAAAACTACTGCTCAGATAGATGTTGATCAAATTTATATACAACCACATGAGAAGCACCAGCTTTAATCGGTTCATCTAGAAAAAAGTTATGAAATAATATATATAATAATAAAATATCCTTTTTGAAGTCAGTTAACAATTTATGGAAAAACAAAACATGGCAGTGGTAGCAGATGTCGATTGTTGAAATTGGTGAAATTTTCTCTAGTCTTTAACTGGAGGAAAGTTAAGGAGTGATTTTGTATGGACTGAACACTTTTTTTATAGAATAAGTGTAACAAACAACCACACAGACCACCTGATAGTAAGTGGTTGCTGTGGCTTATAGATATCTGTTAGAGATGGGCCGAATATTCGTTTCAAATTCGTTATTCGGCATATTCGGTAGCTTTACCGAATATTCGGGTAAATCACCGAACATTCGGTAAAGTGGTATTCAAAGTGTCCACTGTATTGAAATGTACGAATATGTTTGCCACATGTCAGATGTAGCCGATAGACATTTGGCCTTAGATAGCTCACCTTGAATAGTGCTTTTCAATTTTTCATACAGTTGTGCATGAACCAACTGCATGAACCGATTAAAGCCTTTATCTTCGACTATAGAAATTGGATATTCATTGCTCATCATTTTAGCAATTGAATTTGTAATTGAAAGTGATCTGGGGTTGATCGATTCGCCATTTGGAAATAAATGAATCTTCTAATGTAATTTGAGTGGTTGGACAGGTTTTAGTATTTGTAGATTGAGCACCTCTGGTAGAGGGTTGGGTGACCTGTACAACTTCAGATTCACGCTGTGCGTTTCAATATTTTGTATATTTGAGCCTACCTGATGCACAGGTTTTTCCAGACCAGAAAATTCCGCAGTTTGTTTCAATTTTAAATGATTGCTCAAAGCCGAGGACGAAGCTTTCTTGCCGCTGCCACCCCGCGAAAGTATTTTTAGCAAATCATACATTTCACTTTACTTTGGTCGTCACACACACTCCTCCTGTCACTCATTTTATCATATAATTATCAATTTTCGCTAAGAATAACACAACGAAACACTTTCTTTCTCACAAAACAGTCAAAACATAAGCACGTGCCGGCAATTTGCTCAGTTCTAGATGATGCAATAACATGTCAGGTGTGGCAGGGGAGCGAGGGGCTGAGTCCGGTGCTAGCCCCGCACGTTTTACATATACAAGTATCGACATGAATTGGTTAGGAACCGAGGTGATCCTGCCGAGTAATGTTCGGCCGAATATTCGGTTCGGTAAAAGTTTTACCGAACTTCCGGCCGAATATTCGTATTCGGTGAAGTCCACATTCGGCCTATCACTAATATATACATCTATCTTCGTTTGGGAATTAAAATTCAGATGTATTGTTAGCCATGAGGGCTTATATAGAATGCTTCTTTTCCAGTAAAAAGGGTTTCCAGGTCGCTACACTCACCATACGAAACACAGCAGCATTAAGCTGCTATTTCACGCTGGTATTCTGTGAGAGCGTGGTCCTTCACCGGTCGAATCGACTCATTCATGCTACAACTATACTATTAATATAGCTGCAGCATGGCTCTACCACGTATACAATACCCGGATGTCCACTTCCGAAGAAATAGTTCTCATATATAATAATAGGCTTCGCCTTGCTGTAATCCATTAATGTAGCTATATTTACATTTAACATAATGAACAAAGACAACATATATCAATTACTCGATTTCTTTAAATGAAAAAATTCTCAAGTTGTTGAAGTTCCATTGCAATCAAATTTTAATTCTGAGGATTAGCCTGGACAGACGCACAGACAAATAACTAAGAAAGTCTTAATAGCATGCAAATAAATAAAAAGCAGTTATTTCGATATTACTGACAGACACTTCAATTTCATTTATATAAGTAAAGATCAGAACTTAAACACACCTCCTTGCCCTTGGCGATGGGACGTCTACGTGGAGGCGCTCGCGGCCTTCCGGAATGACGCCGACCAGACCACGAGGACGACGAGGACCCAGTACCCGTGCTCCGGTGCGCCATCTTTAAAAATAAATGTACATGAAGATTTATTTAATTTTTTTTAATTAAGCGAGCAGTTATGCAGGTCTAATGAAACCAGTCTCATTGCAACCTGTGAGATCTACTGTGATAGCTGCTATGATTATAGTTCACTGCTAAGCTCTATACCTTCAATGAATTGGAGCAGTTGCATAGCAGTGAGCAATTTCACTTCTTCTGGGCTAAGTATGTAGTTCTCTAGATTAGTGTTTCATTTGCACACGGCCCACAATCAGTTAGGGTGTGCAGAGGTTTACTGTGTAGTGGCTGTGTAAGAATAACCAGCACCCCATATCATCCCGTGGGTGTCGTAAGAGGCGACAGAGGGAAAAAAATTAGGAGATGGGCATCAGTGTCTTTTTTTTTATAGGATGGGGTGACAAACGAGCACACAGTCCACCTGATGGTAAGTGGTTGCTGTGGCCCAAAGGCATCTACATCTATCCTCGTTTGTGAATCAAAATGCAGATGTGTTGTCACCCGTGAGGACTAAGATGGAATACCTCTTTTCCAGTAAAAAGGGTCTCTGGTTCTCTACACTCACCTTACAAAACACAGTAGCATTAAGCTGCTATTTTATGCTGGTATTCTGTGATAGCGTGGTCTTTCCCCTGTCGAGCCGACCCATTAGTGCTACAACCATACTACTAATATAGCTGCAGCATAGGTCTATCACGTATAAAAGTGTCTTCCTAATTATGACTAAAAATAAAAAACTGGTTATCAACTCGCTTCCCAAGTGTAGCAATTATGGCAAATGTCAATGGCGAAAGCCTATGTTTAGAAGTGGACTTTAATAGGCTGTTATGATGCAGAGGTGTTTCGTTCATTAAGGAACAGAATCGACACAACCTTAAGTTAAACAATTAGAAAAACAACTAGACGCATGACATGAATGCCGTTTCGGCGCCCGCACCCTGCCTATATCCTCGCACATCCCCTAGTGACCTAGTTTTAATGATGTCTTAGCTGAGCAGTCCAACTGTTTGTTAGTTTATTTTACCTAAATTTTTATCCTCAATAAATATGTAATGGAAAATGCCAGAAAAATCTTTTGGCATTCAATAGATGGCAGCATAACAATCTTGTTTGTGTCATGCATAAAACACCCAGACTGGGAACAAACAACATGTCAAAGATGTGAGACGTATTGTACTGTAATCGTCAGTCGACTTGCGAAGCACGATGATTAAAGCACCTACCTACTGTATGAGAGACCCATGTCCAGCACTATACTTTTGCAAGCTGAAGCTTAAAGTTTCCAGAGTTCTGCTCATGGGTTAAGGTTCGATTTGGATTGCTTGTGTTGAATTTTAAGAACTCTTACATGGCTTACAATGGTATAAATGCAATTTAAAAGCACTTAATGAAAATAAATCTACCTATGCACCACTTCCACTATGTAGCGGAGAATGTTGTGTATACCGCATGTGTACACACTTATAAAAGCATCTACTTATTATTACATACACATAACTGACATCATAACCATCGTCACAGTCCTACATAGCCCCCCCAAGTCACCTGCATCCAAAGACTTCCTGCATGCATTATCAATTTGTCACTTAAAGTAAGGTTAAGGTTCGCTCAACTCACTGTTTATAGCTACAAGGCTGCTACTCAAAAAATTTACTTGCAAATTGAAATAAAAAAATTATAATCGGCCAGCCCATTGCCATCCTAAATGTACTGTTTCTACTGTGGACATAATGATTACAGATTCTACCTGATGTAAAATTTATTAATAGCAAATGAAACATCCTAATCATGGGAACAGTTTGCATAAACAGTTCTCTTTGCAGTTGAATCTGGGACACTAAGCTAAGCTAGTCATAAATCAAGAACACTATACACAAATATAATGATAAATATAATGCTGTGTACTTTTTCTAATAAACATTTTTCAACAGTGTCATTAAACTTATCAGACATGTTAAAAATAATTTGGACAAGTGTCAAAAATCAAAATATAATTTTGTAAGAGGAGATACTTATGTTTATGTGTACTAACACAGAATAAATAATAGTACTAGACATACAGAAGTTAAAATGCTTTGATCTTGACAAAAGCCACCATATTATATACCTAAACATCACCCAAACAAAATTGCACTTTGATCTCACACATTAGAGCATATTGTTTGTCAACCCCACACTGCATTATTAACCATGTCACTAGTGGTACAAAAAGCCAACCATTTTTTTATTATAATTCATTAATATATAAACCAAACAATTGTTTCACTTTAATGTAATGTCTGGTATATTTTTTTGTCCTTTCCTGAAATATATGTTATTAAAATTTATATAGCAGCATACATCCTAAAAACTCACAAATAATTTTAAAGTATTTTATTCCAAAATGAAGAAAGAAAGTGAGTTATAAAATTAATATTTTTATTAAATTGAGCAGTATTTATCAGGATTTTTAATATTTTTCTAAATATTCTAAAAAAGATATTAATTAATCTAATATATAAAAATTAATTTATTTTTGTTCGTATTTATGCATACCATTCGTCAGATTGCGCTAAAATTTTGTCAACTTATTGCTTGCACTCGCGCGAAGGTTTAATATAGGCACAGTACAATTAACTTACAACAGGTGGTGGGCGTATCGCACCGACAAACTGGCTTATAGTTTGGCAAATTTACAAAGAGAATAATGTACACTCTTTCTATAAAGAAATTTAAAAAAAGGACAAATTTATACGAAAGATATATTATATCATTTAATATGTGAATGTGTTATCATTCCTAATTAAACAATATAACTCTTCCAAATTCAAAACAATATTTCTACAATTATTTCTTCTGCGGCAACTACGAGCCGGGTACCAGGTAGTATATTTTCCATATTTTGGATGTAGGGTTAATTTTTTTTCTTCAATATGGGTAATATTAATTAAACAACTCAGATAACTAGAACATAACTTAGAAAGACATCATAAATAAGTATTTAGAATTCTGGACCAAACTATAGTAGGTATGGTAAGTACTAAGTAACATTTCAATATTTGCTCTAGGGTTATTGTCCATGGAAAAACAGAGGAATAGATATGTATGGACTATACACTGACCAGACCAGACTACAATGAGAATGGGTAGTGTTTGAGCTCACTGATTGAAACTGGCACATATCTATAGATAGAACAGAGACTGTGTCTACAGTATTTTTGACTTCAAACTTGAGTTATCCTCTAAACTACAATACACAAATTTCTTCAGTACTTGGAATAGTTCATTTTTTAGACATGAATCAAAATATATTTTACTAGCTGTTCTCCACGACTTTGCCGGCGTGGAATTTATTATGATTGGATTTTATGAGTTTTCATTTTTTTTCATGGAACCCTAATTCCTTTTCTAAAATAAAAGCAGCATAAGTTACTCTTCATAACATCAGCTACCTGCCAGTGAAAAACCTGTCAAAATTGGTCCAGACACTTCGGAGATTATCCGAAATAAACGACAGACAAGACATACAAAAATTTTAAGAACCATTTTTTGTTATAAGTATCGTATATACTTTTATATATGTTTAGTAAAAAGCTGTTATTTTGACATTACAAACAGACACTTTTATTTCATAATCATCATCGTCATTCCAGCCCTTCACAAGTCCATTGCTGAACATATGCCTTTTATTTATTTGTATAGATTGCTTAGACAATCATGGGTAAAATCTCATGGCTTCTATTAGATGGCAGTATAAATGCCATGTTTCTGCCAGATGAAAAATAGCAATGGAGCACTGTAAAAGGTGCAAAGGATGTCTGTACTGCGAATCCTTCTGCCAAGGGGAGAGATTCTTGTTATTATCACTCCCCAAGCTGCCATTGAGAGCCTTCATTAGTTTTGCAACAGCGGTAGCATACTAATCTACTCTATTTCCATAATTAAAACCCCATAGGCTCTTCACCAGGCCCTGACGAAATACCTGTAGATACTTTAAAAAAGTGCAGTCTTGATTGTTACCTAGCATCTTGTATATTTGTACACATCTTGTATCTTTAATATTTGTAAATCTAAGGGTTGAATGCAGCAAACATAATTTTTTTCAAAGACCTATTCGATCTGTACCTATTTACCCATATTTACAAATAAAAATAAATTTTAATTTTAATTGCCTCCAAGTAGATCCGATTACAGTATCAAATTGATCAAAAAAGTTGCTTATTATATACTAAGTACAAGTAAATGCCCAGTCCTCTATATTAATAGTTAATACACCAAAACCCTTATTTCACCTATAAAATTGTTAATGTACTTCTGGAAGAAGTTCAAGTGCAAAAAGATTTAAATGTGTATATTACTTATATATCTAAAATACAAAATAAATTGGGAACTTCACATTAGAGTGATAACTAAAAAAGTTTTATTTACCTTTTAAGATGAAAAGCATTCAGTCATCTAAAACTAGAAATTATGCTAAAAATATATAAAATTACTACTAACTAACTATTCAACCTACTTTGTAATATGAATTTTGAATCTGGAGCCCTGTTTCAAAGAAAATGTTGAGTTACTAGAGAAGGTTCAATGAAGACATTCAAAGGTTCCTAGAGCATTGAATAACAAACCTTATGAGATAGGCTGATAACTCTTTCAACTTACAATTCTGAAAGATCACAGAGATCAAGGAGAAAGGAGACCTGATTGAAACATTAAAATAATACATGGAATGGACTGCTACGGTCTGCAAAATTTTGACAAAGCATTTTTCCATTTCTCAAACAAGACACATCTTAGGGGGCATCTCCTCAAATTAACTAAAGCTATGTCACATAATAACCCATACAAACACTTTTTTAGCCAAAAAGTGGTTAAAGCATGGAACAAGCTTCCATCAGAAGTTATATATCAGCAAAAACTATTAACTTATTTAAGAACAGACTGAATAAGCAACTAAAATAGAAGAACTACAGATTTGAAACTAAGATACAGGCTTATATCAGTTGTTTCATCTGTTGAGCTGTTAAATAATATTAATAATAATAATTAAAGCAAAAATCTCCATCACTAGACCATTGCTAAAAATAAGTCTCCCTCATAAACTGCTTTATATGGTGTCTTTACACATATAAAAAATTACCAGTTAAAAATTATGTGCCACTTTTAACTGATTACAATTTGAGCCATGGTAGCTCAGATGGTTAGCGTTCACTGTAAGTTTCACAGTACGCGAGCAATCCGGGTTCGATCCCCGCCAGCACCTATGAAATTGTTAAATGCAATTTTAAGTGCTGATTTACCACGTGCTCGGCGGTGAAGGAAAATATCGTGAGGAAACCTGCACGTCTGAGAAAGAAGAAAAAAAAATATTTCAAAGACATGTGAAGTTCGCCAATACGCATTGGGGCAGCGCGACATACATTTCTTTGCCCTAAAAACCCTCTCAGAAATGAGAGGAGGCCTGTGCCCAGCAGTGGCACATATATAGGCTGTCACTTTAACACTTTAACTGATTACAATGAAATTTTGCACACTGTGTGCAGTTTGGTCTAACTCGAGAGATAGCATAGTTTTTATACCATAGTAAGTAACCCTCAATATTTTTTATTACAAATAATAAAGAATATATAGGACAATGGGTTGTTGGAGAGGGTAGAACAACGCCTGCCTAGCCAGCCAGTATTATATACACTACAGCAAGGTTCTAAAGGACTACTTCAGTTTTTACTATCACTGAATTGTTATCAGGAAAATGCAGCTGCCCATCTGCTGTTTCTTTTCTACAGACTTCCAAAAATGAGACGGTATTCAATTCGACGTGTATGTTTTTTTAAAATGTGTGTTACCTCATAACTTTTTACTGGGTGGACCGATTTCGAAGATTCTTTTTTTATATGAAAGCTGATACTTCTCGTGTGGTCACATATGAATTTGATCAAGGTCAGACCAATAGTTTTTGAGTTATTCTTAATAACTTATATTGAAGTCGGCTGTACAAAATTTTTAAGTTTAAATTATGTTTATTAAACTGATATAAATAATTAATCTTATAGTCCACGTGATGGTAAGTTACTACAAAAGTCCATGGACAGCTGCAGCCAATTTCGAACAAAGTAGGCTGTAGATGCCTCGTTAACTCTAAAGACTAAGATGGATTGTCTCACAGCTTGTAATCATACTGACTGTCAATACCCTTCAATGCAAACACTGTTATTTGGTGATAATAATAGGTAAGAGAGTGGTAATGGCCCAGACAAAAAAGGAGACCTACTAAAAATATCCACGAAATGGAATAACAACCTCATAATACCAGCATAAAATAGCAACTTAACACTACTGTGTTTTGTATGGTGAGTGTAGAGAACCAGAGACATTTGATTTGCAAACGGGATAGACGTAGATATCTATGGGCCACAAGGGAACCACTTACCATCAGGTGGACTGTGTGCTCGTTTGTCACCCTATCCTATGAAAAAAACTTGTAGGGAGTCAATGGATGCAGGTGGCTCGGGAGTGTGCATTGTATACTAATCATCTATTCAACCCATTACGGCCTATAAAAGTTCACTACTGAACACAGGCCTCCCCTTAGATTGCCTCAATTTTTCCATATTTGCCAGTTGGCAGGCGGGTCGGAAACTGCATTTTTTAAAATTATTTTCCGGTGTTATCTAGAAGTTGCTGCTGCCCTTCCCCAATTTTAGTATGTATTGTGGCAATAAGGGGTAGTAAATATTCTTACACTGCCATTATACTGTACATTAACCTTTGCGAATGTGGAAACAGAAATACTTTTATGATCATTTTTCCACAGTATCATTTATTTTGACACTAAATATTATACTGGAAATTAATAAAACAAGATATTACTTAATTTCACATATACGATAATACTTAACATTTACCTTAATAATTTGAAATAAATTTTAAAAAGTAACAGGCGATTTAGTTTTAAATTATAAATATCAATTTTTTATCACAAATGTAACAAAATATTCAACAGTATTAATCAATGATGACACTTACAGCGAATTCGAAGAGCGACGGGATGTCTGGTTGTGGCTCGCCATCAGCAAGACCGGCTAATAGGCCAAGCTCGGCACTCAAATCGGCTAGCTCTGCGCCGATCCGATCCGCCCGGTCCGCGTCACCCAGTTCATCTTTCAAAATATCTCCAATCTCATCAGAGACAGCAGCGACAGCCGAATAAACCACATCTGAAGGCACACCTTCCTTCACTAACCCTCCACCACCGTTCATCTCAGATTCTTCGGACGTCCCGGACCCATTGCGCCCTGAACATTTCTCCATAGAAAACATCATTTACAAACCGATTCACGCACGGGATCCGATATAAGAATCATCTAAATATACGACAGAAAACGTCCGATCACAAGAACACAAGAGATTTAGTCGCAGAAAAGCGAAAAATCATTTTTTCCTCGACACCGATAGATCGCGAACTTTTTGACAATACCAATATGGCGACGGTATTTTTAGGTATTTTGTGACCAGCCGCGAGAGGATAGGATAAAGTGTCTGATTACGTATGGCAACTTATTAATCTGACATTTATATTTATCATGTTCCATGTTCACATTAATTTCTACTTTATTGAACAAATTGATTAATCATAACTAAATTATTTTCATTGATTTTTTGTTTTTGGCGGGAGCTTGACTGGCAGTGGATTGCTGTTAATGTATTATTGTTTAAATTATGGTTTGAAGTAGATTTTGATACGTAAAAGTGGAGCTGTGTATTAAACGTGAACTGTTGGTGGTAACGATGAAACAAGTGCCCCAATAGTGATGCTTAGGCATCTTAAAATCCCCCCCGAACGGGTTCCCACCTTGTCGTGGCGGGGGGGGGGGGGGGGGGGGCTTAGTAGCCGTGGCTTGGTCACCCACGGTGAACAAAGGGGAACCCCTTGGCCGGCCCGTGGTGTAGGGCCGACCCGAGGTGGCCACTCTGAGTGGCTTGGCGAGCCCGCTTCGGATGTGTGTCGGTGGGCAGCATGAAAAGGGGTGTCATCTCCCCCTACCGCTGCAGCCGAGGTGGAATCACGGGGCAAGAGATTGTTGGTATGGCGATACGCCACTCACCCTATCCTCCGCAACTCTGACGGGGCCGCACCGTTGATGCAGTGGAGGAGCGGCCGCAGGGGGAGAGGAGTGTCGGTATTGCGAGGCGCCGTTCTCCCTGCCCTCCGCAGCCAAAACTTAATTGGCGGCGGAGCCAGAGACCAGATCCGCCGCTGGGGTTGGGAAAGCGGGTGCTACTGAACGTTCGATTTTCCTGACCCAATGGCCTCTGCGTGTCGGACTCGGGGGGGGGGGGACCCCGAGTCCCCCCCCCCCCCTTTACGCAGGTGGAGTTAGAAACGGGCCGTGGAGGAAGGCGTGCCTAGTGTTCTTGGTGCGTCTTGTCTGAGAAGGAGGATGGGGAGGAGAATTCCTACCCCGAGGAGGGGCTGCTATAGGTCGGCCAGCGTTGGTGGGGCCGAGGTTGTGTGTGAAAGCGTTCCCGTGACCCTGACAATATGCAACGAAGATGGAACACCATGGGGTTTTAGTCGTTGCGAATAAATGCGAGGCGGGTATGCGTAGGCATTTCCCCGCGTAAAAAAAGAAGTTTTGGATCAAATTATTTGCTTCAAAACTATTCATATTATTCATATATGTTGATGTATATTATTTATAGATATATAATATTATAAAAGAATAGTTTCTTTATGAACTTGATACATTGGTTTTTGCCTTTAATAAAATTAATCATCGAAATAGGATTACAATTTGGCATAATTGAACGTTTCATGAAGTAAGTTAGTTTAATTTATATTTCTAATATCTTTCCGCAACTTCAAGACTGCATGCATCAGATAGAATCAAATACTAATTTATATTATGGGAATCCGCGTAGAAAACTATTTCTAGAAGAGCAAATGATTCTTCTGAAAATTTTGAGTACTCCGAAGGACATTTGAAATTCTAAATAATCTCATATTTGGGGATCCATACAGCTACACCAACCTACCAAATCAACCACTGTCATCTTATTTTGAAACATCTGTGAATATAATTCGAAAATCAGACTAAGAACTTTGAATAATCTCACTCAATATTATATTTGCGCAAGGATAGTCCTTGTCATCAACACCCATGTTCAGGACCATATTAGGAATGGAAGCATAACGGAGTGCATTAAAACTTGCGTCCAACCGAAACAGGATTTTCAACCGAAACCGAAACCGAAAACGAACCTTCGGTCTGGGTGTCAGTTTCGGCCGAAACCGAAACCGAAACTTATTTAGACATGTTAATTTTTTTGTTGTTGTATATATTGAAATCTGGTTAAACTTTTGAGTAGAGGATAAAGATCATGGTAGATCCAATAGTTAGAATTTACAGAGCGAGAAACAAAATGCAAAACGCACACTAGAGGATGAGAACAAATTTGCATAACATTAGAAAATAATCTATCGGAATGAAATTGCTAACGTAAAAATAATGGTGGTTCTAGACATTCCACATGAAAGGCGGCTATCGAAGACGATTTCATAGCGACTGTAATAATGCGCAAGCAGTTTGACTGTATCCTATCTAGTTTACTACGAACAATTTTACTACAAGTATCTATTATAAATCCAGCATAGTCAAAGTGGCTGCGAATTATTGCATTATAGAGAAGTTTTTGGTTTATTAAGTAAGACCCCCAACGAACACCAGATAATATGCGTAAACTATTAACATTTTCTTATACATCCAAGCCTAATAGTTCATGTGATAAAGACCAGACTTATGAGTGTAGAGAATAATATTATCACCTGCGGCAATGGCTTCATTATTGACTAAGAAAGCTATGGGAGGTATGTTTCCCTTACAGGTAAACATAGCTGAAACGCATTTAGGTAGCGAGAGAGAGAGATAGAGAGAGAGAGAGAGAGAGAGAGAGTGATAGAATTTAGAATAATTATTTGAGTCTTTCATGGCTCAGGGACATGTTCAAATAAGAATATTGAGTTAATGTTACAGATAAAATAGTTTAGAAAGCTTTGAAAACTTGGAAATGAAAAAGTAAGGAATATCATCTACGTCTGGGGAGGAATCGCGGAAGTGGTCCAAAGCACACACAATTTCAGCATAAGAAAAAGGATCGTTCATTGCATCATGTGGACTAGGCTCAAGCAAAAAGATTCGTGTTAAATCAGCATTAGGAACAGATTAATGTCATCAAAAACATACCGTGTAAAAAACCAAGTCTCGCAACTCAGTTCTTCTACCGTAAAAAGTTGTGAGATACATGTAATACCAAGTCGGTTAATTTATTCAGTCACTACTTAAGGGCCCTTCTGTCTCAAGTTATTACGTAATTAGCTAACCTAACAACATCTTATAGTCACCATATGAATATTAAAAATCTTTTATGTTTTAAATAAAGAGAGTGACTTGGCCATCGCATGAAAACACAATGTATCTCACAAGTACTATCACTATGATAGCTATAAGCCAATAACAATACTGCCAGTTATAGATAAGGTAGTTGAAAAATATGTATCTCAACAAATTTAGAATTATTATACTAAACACGATGTATTGTCAAATACTCAACATGGCTTTCAATCTAATAAATCAACTACTATTTTGCTGTCTAAATTCACGGACGAAATAAATCAACACCTTAATGATAAAAAACATGTTATATTACTATTCATCGACTTTAGTAAAGCATTTGATACTCTTAGGCATGATATTCTTATAAAAAAACTTGACAATACAGGTGTCCGCGGGCCATTATTACAATGGTGCCAAGATTATCTCAACGGTAGAAAATACCGGGTTAAGATTGGCAATGACTTCAGTGACGAAATACTGGTAACTACTGGAACAGCACAAGGCTCTGTTCTCGGACCCTTGCATTATTTAGCGTACGTCAATGATATGGAAAACATAATAAAACACTGTTCCATATACCAATACGCTGACGATACATGTCTTGTAGCAGCTGATAAAGATTTAGCTAAGGCTGAACACTGTTTACAAATTGATTTCACTAACTTATGTAAATGGTCTCATGATGTTGGTCTAGTACTCAATGCTAGTAAAACTAAAATTATTCATGTCCGCTCTAACTACCTACTCAATTTTGATAAGAAAATCGAAGTAATCGCACATAGTCACCAGTGCTTGCATGTTTTGCAAACAAATAGGACCGGTTGCAAATGTGAGTTGTTAGAGCAGGTTCCTCGTCACAAATACTTAGGACTAGTAGTCGATGACAGGCTTAACTGGGGTTATCATATTGACACAATTTGTGACAAACTGAGAGCAATGTTAGCTAAATTAGCTATCTTGAAATACAAAGTACTATTTAAAATATTACTAAATTTATATAATGCACTCGCAGAGACAATAATTTTATATGGGATCACTAGCTATGGTGGGACATTTAAAACTTATTTGGACAAAATATACAGCCTACAACTTCGGTTTTTAAAAATTATAACACCTAATAAAATTAAAAAATCAATCTGCTCCGATGACGATGTATTGCCCCTATTTAAATATTGTAAAATCTTACCTATTCATATAAAAATAAAAATGTGGCTATTAATTGAACAATTTACTAACAAAGAACTACAAATAAAAGTCAATCATAAAATAACGACACGGAAAGTAGTTCAATCAAAACTAGAAATACCAAGAGTCAGAAACTATTACGGAAAATGAACAAATGCGTATTTAATACCAACTCTCATTAATGACATACCAACTAAAACCCAATTAGAAACAACGGATAAAAATTGTAAACATAAATATAAACAATACTTTTATTCTTTACTTTCATAACAAGTAGTCTAATTTTAATCAAATCAAACCTAATGTAATAACATATCGATAATTGCAACATTCTGTATATAACAAACTCAAGTAGCAACAGCCGACCGGCCGCCTGCGCCGAGCCGCAATCTATAACCGGTTCCTTATTGTCCGCTTCTGTGTAAACAATGTACCCATAACTGCTGATATTGTATTTTTGATGTTCTTATTAAGTAATATATGTGTAAACTAATGTCAACAGATTGCTCAGTGTCTCAACATCCAGACAAACACGTAAGGGTTTTTGTGATGTTTTTATGATTATATTGTGTTTTTCTTTTCATTAAATAAATTAAAAAAAAAAGTAATACATATTATATTAAATTAGATTGTTTAGTGCGATTGCCAAGTCAATTTATTTATTTAAAACATAAAAGATTTTTAATATTGATATGGTCACTATAAGATGTTATTAGTTTAGCTAATTACGTAATAACTTGAGAC